CTGGAAAACAAAAAGGTTGACGGGAAATAAAACAAGCGTGGGAGGCGCTCTGACACAGCTACCCGTAGGCGCGTGAGCCTAAGAGAGTAGTATATCGAAACACGGAAGGGTAAAATGGTCCGACTTAAAGAAACTGTCATATCAGGGTTAGTTCACTAATTGAAGGTGAGAACTAGGGTACTTTCGCAAATTAACTCTATTATTATATTACATGAATCATAATATTACACTTCTTGTTTTTAGTATTCGGTTTGTTATTGATCCAAACTCACGCTGCTTTCAATAGGGCCAAAACATAGAGCACATAATATCTCGACGTGAATTGAATGTAGCCCTCGTTACTAGTATGTATGGGTTATAGAGGTACTTGGATTTCAATCAACACACATCATCTGTGCAATGTTCAATCATTAAGACATTTTTTCGTAGATTCAATTTATAAAGTACACTGATCTTCCTATGCTAAAAATATTGATTATTAACCAGATTATATATATATATATATATATATATAAGTTTGTACAACCATTAAATCATACGTATCTGATAAATTAACAAATAAGAATAAAGAAACATGTATCAGCCTATTAGATCATGATTAATCGATAACATGTGTACCATCATAAGTAGTTTTTTTTACAATTAACTCATTTAACAAAAAGGTCAACGAGTTATTTCAATAACTATCATATAACATCAAATATATATGAACTATAATTATGTTATATATATCTATTAAACAATAGTTTCATACGTAATTTACATGATACAATCATATCTCCATGTTTTTAAAGTTCAAAATTTCTAAAAAATCATAAACTATAACCATAATTGTTTTAATATTTTATATTAAATTATAAATCCTTTAAACTGATATTTAGCAAAAAAATTAAGACTCGAATGAAATATATAGTAAAATCTGAATAAAAATAACCCAAATTAGACATCTAATTAGGTCTAATTAGGGTTTTAATTTGGTTAAGTGTTGATTTAAAATGACTTATAGTTTAATTTAAAAAACAAACCAATTAATCATCTTTTATAGGTTTTTAGATTCCGAACTTTAAAGACATGGAAAACTAAATCCAAAAATGTTGTTTTGAAATATATAGAACAGTGTCATTGTTTGGAAAAATCTAATGTCATATGATAATTCTTTTGAGAAAACAGTCGACCCAACATAAACTGATTAAGTACATCAAAATAGTTTAATATTGTAGAAATGAGAAAATCGCATATATATATCATAATATACGATTATTGATGAGGTATCTCGTGAGCCACGAGTTCGTCCGGTAACACAAAATCTATGCTATCGTTCCTGAAATCATGGTATGTTACATAAATACATATAGTATACGCATCGTGTATACACACTACATAAATATTTTAAGAGATAAAGCCACTCGATTATAAATGAGGTGTCGATAAAACTGATGTGGCGATAACTTATGATATGTTTTCTATATCTATTTCTATTGATTATAAAACTAAAAAGAACGCATAGTTAAGATCACGAGCATGATTGAAATGGTATATTGTATTAATAAAATCTCATAAGGATGATCGAATCAACCGTTAATCTTATATTATATGTTGTTGTTCCTATTTTTAAAACTTCCCCTTCACTTTTCATGGGCTTTAATTCAGTCATTGATGACTCTAATCAAATGAGACAAAAAATCCCACTTAGACTCAAATTTTAGCTGAGGCTGTATAATTAGTTTTAAATTATTAATTTCTAACGACATTATATGGTAGGATTTGGTAGATTAGCCTATATGTCGCTCGCAATGTGGAAACTTTCTAATTTTCAAATAAGCCACGATCATATAATACGGGTACTAATTTATTTGGAAACGTGCGTGTATAAATTGTAGTCGATAAACTTTTGAAATCTGTAGGTTAGAAAGTCTTGCAAAGTATTAGGATGCGTAGACAATTGTTCTTAGAGAACATAAGATCGTGTTAAGTCCAAAAGACTTATCTTAAAACCGATTTGTCGAAGAAACGTGTAATACCCATTAGATCAATTTTTAGAATATTGTTATATGAGTGGTTGGCAGCAAAAGAATATGTATAAGTGAAGCTGAATTAAAGATTTGTACCTAACTTTGACGGTTTAAGATAATAACTAACTAATTAGAAAATTAGTGACATTTCACTAAGACTTAAATATGACTCGTTACCTTCAAGTATTATTTTTATTCTAGCATATTGTTTAGTCGTGTAAGTCGAGAAAATTAAAAAGGTGCAGCTGCTTTTGTTAAACAGTTAGTTAGGTGTTACAGTGAAAAGTAATAACCAGAAAAAAAAGAATGAAAAAGGAAAATAAAGAAAATGAAAAAGACGAAGATAAAAAGAAGGAAAAAAAACATAAATAAAGCAAGCGTGATGGAAGAAATGGAAAAGAGAAGGTCACCACGTGTATATGGGAGAACTCCGTAATGAGGCAAAGACGCGGGCTATCGCTAAAACGTGTCCTCTTCACTAACGACGTACCAAACCAATTTGATTTCACTTCTCTAACCAAAGAACGAAAGTAAGACGACACAATGGTCCAATCACAGTTTAGTGAGACAAATGTCCTTTTACTTATCTTTTAACGTGTTATTTTCTTATTATTTTAATCTATTTTCTAAGATATTTTTTTTTCTTTTCAAAATGTCCAAATACACCTGCTCTTATAGTGCAAATATTTGTAGTTACTAGAGACCATATCATACAAAGCTGGTTTGGTGAGAGATGATTCCATTCAATTTTTATATGTTATTCTATTAAACTATTAGGCGGAGTTTCCAGAAAATTTTATACGTGAAGTATGTTTCTTCTTTTAAATAATATTCGAGGTTTGCTTCGTTGATTTATATATGCGAACCTGATAATTCAAGGCTCATCTAATTCTAGTACTTATTGGCACTTGGCAGCAAATGTTAATATCGTTCCTTTAAAATAGTATATACCTCTTTCTGTGGTTCAAAATATGTTGTTTATCAGTTTATGCTACCATTTAAAGATTGAAATTTGATATATACGTGGATGCTGCCTTTAAAAGTCTAAGCAGAATATGCATTCATTATTTGTGTATTAATAATCATAGCCTAGGGCCTCGAATATACGAATTCGGAGTTACTTGTCTAACGGGAACGCTATTATTTATTTGAGCATGAATGTAAGAGATGACAAAAGAAGAAAACATAAATGTAAGAATCCCTGTTTGAGTGTTGACCCGATAGAAAAAAAAAGGAGTGGTCGAACATCTCTATAGATCTCGTCAACTAAAATCTAAGTGAAAGAAAAAAACAACATTATCACTTTAGACAAATTAAAGTTAGTATATTAGAGAGAAAGTTCTCTGATGTAACATACCGACTTTTAATAAATTGCATGCGTGGAGTATTGGTGTTTAATTTATAACAGTTTCGTTAATTTCCGTAAGTTTTAAGATATTTTTGAGTAACTTGTTTCCAGGATTAGTAGACAAAGCTAATAAGTAGTGGACGATATTTTTGTGGTAATCATGTAGCCACAAGGAGTTATATCAAAACATTTTCGTTTGTATTTTCTGCTATGTTTATTTTAGGTCGTCAAAAGTTACAAACTTGTTAAGTTACACTCTCATTGAATTCACAGACAGAACTTAGATGAGATCATGGAAATGTTTGATTTCTCACATTTAGGAAATGGAAATGGACACTAAACACTTGAGTCATGCCCAAAAATACTCGAATACTTGTATTACTGTGATCTTTAAATATTAACTCAACTAGACCGCACCAGACCCAGAACATGTAGTAAAGACTTGAGAGATATTTCATATTTGCATGTGGAGATGAATAGGCCAAGTTGGAGTACTCAAACAAGAAGCTGTTGAGCCACGACATAAGCCAAGTTGGTGATTGTAACTAGTGAAACATCATTTTAGCAACAAAATGCTAATGAAACTCTACTTTGTATAGTATATAAACACATCCCTTTTCCGTCTATATTTTTAGACAAATTTCACACTATTTAAGTATATGTTTGCACACTAATTTCAGGTGGACTAACTAAACTATGTCCCACAATGCCTCGAACCAGCGATCTGAGGAGGATATATCTCAATAGATTAGAGGTTTTATAACGACCTATGTTATTATCTCCAAGTTGCCAAAGACTTGTATATAGCTTTTGTTAACAAACATTGAAACAGAAGAAGACACAAACAAGACAAAAGGGANCTATGTCCCACAATGCCTCGAACCAGCGATCTGAGGAGGATATATCTCAATAGATTAGAGGTTTTATAACGACCTATGTTATTATCTCCAAGTTGCCAAAGACTTGTATATAGCTTTTGTTAACAAACATTGAAACAGAAGAAGACACAAACAAGACAAAAGGGAGTTAAAGGTTGAAGTGGATGCATTTGTCCAAGTGTGAAAGGTCTCAACTTTGAACCATATTACTCTGTTTTTTTTAAATTTATTCCCAAAATACCCTTTTCTCTCAACACCCACTCACTCTATTCCTCTCACTGTCACTGATTCAACACGTGGCCACCCATATGGGACCCACCATTCCCCTCCCGGTTTATATAAACCTTCAACACTTCCTCGCTCTCAAACCAACTCTCTCTTCCCCTCACCACTTCAACAACAAAGTAACAAGAATAAAAAAAAAAACAGAGACTTTACAATTCTCAAAACAGAACGATCACTTTTAAAGCACTAACACTGATCACGCAATACTTCACAAAAAAATGGCTTCTTTCACGGCGAATACGGCGGTTTCCCGGAGATGGCTAGGTGGCAATTTATCATCTTCTCAAAGCTCCGACATGAGTTATTCTTGCTCCATACCCATGACAAGCCGTGTCCAAAGAAAGCTCAATGTTTCCTCCGCGCTTCACACTCCTCCCGCTCTCCTCTTCCCCAAACAAACCTCCACCTCTCCCGCCATTGTCGTCAACCCCAAAGCCAAAGACTCCGACACTAAACAGATGAACATGTTCCAAAGAGCAGCCGCCGCGGCCTTAGACGCGGCTGAGAGCTTCCTCGTTAGCCACGAGAGACAACACCCGCTTCCCAAAACCGCCGACCCTAGCGTTCAGATCGCCGGAAACTTCGCTCCGGTGAACGAACAACCCGTCCGGCGTAATCTTCCGGTGACCGGAAAAATACCTGATTCCATAAAAGGAGTGTACGTGCGCAACGGAGCTAACCCGCTTCACGAGCCGGTGACCGGTCACCACTTCTTCGACGGAGACGGGATGGTCCACGCCGTTAAATTCGAAGACGGTTCAGCTAGCTACTCTTGCCGGTTCACTCAAACCAACCGGTTTATCCAGGAGCGTAAATTAGGTCGACCGGTTTTCCCCAAAGCCATCGGGGAGCTTCACGGACACACCGGTATCGCTCGTCTCATGCTATTCTACGCCAGAGCCGCAGCCGGTTTAGTCGACCCGGGAAACGGAACCGGAGTAGCTAACGCCGGTTTAGTTTATTTCAACAACCGGTTATTAGCCATGTCGGAAGACGATTTACCTTACCAAGTCAGGATCACTCCAAGTGGAGATTTAAAAACCGTTGGCCGTTACGATTTCGATGGTCAGTTGGAATCAACAATGATCGCCCACCCGAAAGTCGACCCGGAATCCGGAGAACTATTCGCGTTAAGCTACGACGTCGTTTCAAAGCCTTACTTAAAATACTTCCGCTTCTCCCCCGACGGAACTAAATCGCCGGACGTGGAGATCAACCTCGAGACGCCGACGATGATGCACGACTTCGCGATCACGGAGAACCACGTCGTGATACCTGACCAGCAAGTCGTCTTCAAGCTCCCGGAGATGATCCGCGGCGGCTCTCCGGTGGTTTACGACGAGAAGAAAGTCGCGAGGTTCGGAGTTTTAGACAAGTACGCGGCGGACTCGTCGGGGATCAAGTGGATCGAAGCGCCGGGATGCTTCTGCTTCCACCTCTGGAACGCGTGGGAGGAGGCGGAGACGGAGGAGGTCGTGGTGATCGGCTCTTGCATGACTCCGCCGGACTCGATTTTCAACGAGTCCGACGAGAATCTCCAGAGCGTGCTCTCGGAGATTCGGTTGAATCTCAGGACCGGAGAGTCTACTCGCCGCCCGATTATCTCGGACGGCGAGCAGCAAGTTAACCTCGAGGCGGGGATGGTTAACAGAAACATGCTCGGGCGTAAAACGAGATACGCGTATCTCGCTTTAGCCGAGCCGTGGCCTAAAGTCTCCGGGTTTGCTAAAGTCGATCTCTTTACGGGAGAAGTGAAGAAATTTTTGTACGGTGATAGCCGTTACGGTGGAGAGCCTCTGTTCCTCCCGGGAGAGGGAGGAACAGAGGAGGACGATGGTTACATCCTCTGTTTTGTTCACGACGAGGTGACGTGGAAGTCTGAGTTACAGGTAGTTAACGCCGTTAGTTTGGAGGTTGAAGCGACGGTTAAGTTGCCGTCAAGGGTTCCGTATGGGTTTCACGGTACGTTTATTGGAGCTAGTGACTTGGCGAAGCAGGTGTAAATATACAAAAAGGGATACATATTACTACGTGAGAAGCTTCTAGAAGAAAAAGAAGTGAGGGATTTTTACCAGTGGGATGATCTGCATATACGTCCCCGGAATCACCTCCTCTTTGTGTTTTTTTTACCCTTTGTTTTGCTTTTTGTTTGGGGTGCGGTTTGTTAGTTCCCTTTTTTATGGGGGTCAATGTAGAAATCTGAAAGATTTTGAGGGACCAGCTTGAAGCTTTTGGGCTGTAGGGTAGCCTGGCCGTTCGAGCTCAGCTGGTTTCTGTTATTCTTTCACTTGCTGTTGTTCATAGTGAGCAGTATATAGATGTATTGAACAAAAAAAATAATGTTTATATATGAATGTTTCTAGCAAGCAAACAATTAAACAACATTGTATTAAACTTTAAATACAGGCCACTTTTTGTCTTTGATTTTTATTTTATTTTAGTTACATCACTTTTTTACTTATGGAAACGTTTTATGGGTTGTGCCACTAACATTTATCTAGTGATTTTATTGGTAAACATATATTTTCAGTGATTATACTAATTTTTAAAAATGGACCAATGAGGGAGAGACAGGACTCAAGTAAACTTTTGGACTTTAGAAACAAAAGTTAATAACCAAATCTCACACGCTGTATAAATTTAGTTAGTCAATTTTTGGTTATATTTGCATGGAAGAGAATCACCAAAGTCAATTTCAGTCAATTTACGAAATAGAAACCAACGAGTGAAGTTAACCCACGTCAAAAAAGAGTAAGTGTGTAATTTGAATATGACTTATTGTTATGAACCTATTTAAAGATTAAAGGAGTTTAGTAACTGGTCGTTGTCATAAACCTATATTAAAAAGCATATTGTTATTTTGGTAAGCAGAACCGTAAACATTGGATATGTAATGTGAGTGGTGGGTGGTATCACAGTGGAGAGACCAATCAAGACTAGTGGAATTGTGACGAAATTAACGGCATAATTCTTATACTATAAGTAATAATTTCAAATATTTATTAAAATGGAGCACTTAATCTGATAAGGGGATCCACGATTGTTCGGAGAACACAAATGTATAAACAAAGAAAGAAAAGTCAACTGTTTGGAGAGTGTTTCGGTGTATTTAGATTAAGACATCTCCAAAGTAATAACATTTGTTATCTTTTAACAACTTTTGTAAGGGAAGAACAACGTTAGGTTGCTTGCACAGATCTAAAATCTGTTAAGATTTACGTACACGTTTGTTAGTCATATTTTTGATGCCTACATAAATTGTTATTTTTTTCTAAATTTGTCGGTTGGAAAGTGTTAACGACTATACTTATTTAAGCACAAACCCCCTATATATAGCAACCGTTAAATTATTACTGGTTTAGAACATCTCCAAAAGACACTCTATAACTTCAAATATGAAGTTTTTGGTTCTCCAAAAAGGAACTCTAAAACTTCAAATTTGAAGTTTTGAGTAGTGAAACTTCAAATATAGAGTGCCACTACTCAAAACTTCAAATTTGAAGTTTCATATTTTTTTTTGCATTTTGATCCTTACAATTATACATTATATTTATAAGTCTTATATATTTTATGTTTTTATCATTTTAACCCTTGAAAATTCATATCTCGTTAATATTTTAAGTTTTTTTTTATAAATTTAAATTTTACACTTATTGTTTTCACAAAAAAAACAAGATAAGATTAAAAACAGTTAAAATTAGAACTAGAAAACAACAATATTACAAAACTTAAGTTGATATTTTATTTATAGTTTAACATTTAATTATATATTTCTATTAATAATTCATATTTTAGTGTAATATTTAACCATTTAATATTGCTGTAATATTTTTATATATGTGCTAGTTATTTATAAAAGTTCTATGAATTTAAACTAGTTATGACAAATATAAGGACCATAGTATAAAATACAAATAGTTTTAAAGTTAAATTTGAAGTTTTGTTTTTGGAGCATAACACCTACAAACTTCAAATATAAAGTTTTACAAACTCTAAAATAGAGTGTCTTTTTAGAGATGCTCTTATATTTTCTATTGTTTTTCTTAAAGAACTAAAGGTTTATATTAAAAACAAAGGGTTGAAAAATAAAAATAAAATCTGGTTAAATACTCAAGATTATATGTGTCTGTGTGTGTGTGCGTGCGCACGTATATGGGGTAAGGGAAACTAGATAACTGAGTAATGGTGTGCCAAAGAAGCACAAACTGAACATTCCACTAGTTAATGCTATAGGGATTAAAAGCACATAAGTTCACTTTCACATTTTTACGAAAATATCTCAAACACCAAAAGTGTCAAGCAGATATCATACATGTTGTTGGGAAATGTCAAAAAGAAATACTAATATTTAGCCAACTCGGAGATATCTTAATATGGTGGACTTTTTATTTTGATTGTTTGTTCACGTTCTCCTCTGGTATTATAGAAACCCATTTTTAGTATTCTTGTTGGAAATCTTATCATACTATATATATATATATATATATATATATATATATATATAGTGTTTAGTTGAGATTGTTTGTTCACTATAATATATATAGTGTTTAGTTTTGTTTTTAGTTTTAGAGACTAGTTTGCATAAATAAACTTAGTCCGATTCATACAAATATTATAAAATTTAACACCCATCCAAGGCAATGTATATATGTGTGTTTACTATGTGTTTACTATATATACAAATCAATATAGGTCTATATATAAAGATATGAATAGGAAACTAAATTTTGATTTTTAGCATATTTTTTTTGTAAACTATAGCTTTTTAGTGTTCTTTATAGCTAAGATTATTATGAAGTAAGATAAAAGATAAAAATCGTTTACATAACAAAGTTCCCGACTAAACAATTTGCAGCCAAGCTGAGGATGTCCATGTGGATTTTACAATCTTACTCATGAATGGCTTATACGGATGCTTCAACATAATTCATAGATTGGCTTCACTTTTAATGTGAAATTCCTGATGGAAATTAGTTTAATTTTTTCTTAACAATTATATCAGATATCTTTTATAAATATTGGGGGGGGGGGGGTGTGATTTCAAAGCGATCCTTTGTTTTTAACATTCAAATTATATATAGTGACTCTTCCATGGTCGAGAGTATCCTCCCTTGTATTAATATTTGAAAGTTTTAACTAAAATAATTTTAAAAATTTGAAATGTTGTAAGAGAATCATTATCAGGTGTGAAAGTGTATTGAATGCGTTGGTAAAAAAAAGTTCACCGGATGCAAAAACTTAATCGGAAAAACATCATTTGATACGGCGGTTCCACTGGAATTATAATACTTAGACAGCTCATGTCGGCCATCCACGTGTCAGTATTTACGTTTGCAATAACAAAAAAATTATACTATGTGAGGGAATATAATGATACAATTATATGTTCATTACTTACCCAAAGTAGAAGGTGACTTTTCTCCCAACTAATTGAAGCCTAACCACTTTCCTTTAGTGGAAGGTTGGCACTTATGTTTTCCATTTATATTGGCAGTTACTACTTACTCTTACCTTATACAGACCGTGAAATCCGCCATTGTGATTCGCGGAACTATATGTTAGCATGTGATATTTTTTTGTTTCTTATATATAAAATTGAATTTATTAAAGGTTCTTGGCGAATATAGAAACCGTCATGCATGTGGTTGGTATTGTCAAGTTCCATATAAAATATGTGTTCATGCTTTTATATTATTCCCATAACGGTAGAGTTTGGTGACATGTATGTCGACACTCAGCAAAACTTTTGTATCCATTCTAGTATGGCGAAGACGGATCTTCCCATAGTGGTGATATGATGGTCCAATCTATTTATCTATCTGATCAAGAGAAAATATAAGAATCTTTTTTTCTAAAATGTATAGAATTCTTGGTTTTTCTTCTTCTTGTTTTTGTTAATTGATCTAACATAATTAACGAGAGCGTTATTTTGTATTGATATATATTTTTTTTATAAAATTGATATAAATCAAGATTATGCACTTGCATGAAGAAAATCAAAAATGAAAAAAATTAGCGAAGATTGATTTACTATATGCAGCGGTAAGTGTGACCGCCCCGGACGCCATTATAATTCTTTTTAAAAAGAATTCTTTTATTAAAATATATTATGTATTAGGTTTAAATTTAAATAAGTTTATTAAAATATAATCACATAAAAAATTTAATTAAATTTTTTTGTTAAGTTGTTTTAGAAATAATTTTAATAATACTTAAAATATTAAAATAATAATTATAGGGTCTAAATTTTTTTGGGGGAATTGCCAAAACCAACCCAAATATTCATTTTAACCCTAAAGGTGCACCCCTTATTCAATCAATTGCAAACCCAACCTAAAGGGGTGTTAAAACTACTATTTAACCCTTATGAACAAACAAAAAACGTGCAGTATATTTTACGATTCTGTCCTTCGTAGGTCTACACTTTAAGAAAGAAGTCTACAACTAGG